CCCAATAATGCATAATTTCATTTGATAAACACGTTTAAATTGAATGGTAATTTATAATCAGTCACAAGAACGTCGAATCTGAATCACTTGAAAAAAACACGGGGTGCTTAACTTTTTTCCAGGTGTATATTTCATATCAAGTGAACTTGCATACATAAAATATTTTAATGGAATAAGTTTTGCATAATTTGAAATAATAATTGTTCAGTTTTTGAATAAAATGTTTGAAAATCCATCACATTATAATTCATACATTTATCTTTTTTGGGACAATTCAAATTTATTTCTATCATTTTATGAAACAGGTTTTGAGATGAAAAGATCATCATCATCTGTTTCAACACACACAAATTGTGGAATCAGTTTTTAATAAAGTCAATATGTAAACCTTAATTTGATGGTAATTACCATGTCAACACAATCCAATTAAAAAAATATATATATATGATTTGGATATTGTTGCCAAAAAACAATGTGATACTTGTGAATGATGTATATACATTATTAGTTTGGTAATTTATCTAAGTTGAAACAGGTAATTTTTAAGATGGTTTTAAATAACATAGTCGGAGGTCCAACCAGCAAAGAAAAATACATAGTAAAAAAAAAGAAATCATTGTAAACTTTATTTTTTCAGGTCACAAAAATCACTGAGCATGAGTCCTGAAAGAACCTCGAAGTTCAATCTCTCACAGCATCAGTCTTAATATTGCAGCATTTGTGTAAAAGACAAAACTTCTTATTAGACTAGTGATCCCATTCAGAGTATTGACTGTGGACTTTGAGAGACTGGTGAATTGTGAGAGACCAGGAAAATCATCTCAAGATTTCTTCCTCAAATGATTTTAGAATGTAGAAGTTTTCTTTCAATTCTCTGCAGGAAAGCTACCACAAGAATGTTGTGAATTGGTGATAATTCATGAATGGATTGCTTCTGTTTTTCAGTGACTGTCTGTTTTTCTTTGTTACAGAGACTAAACCTGAATACTAAAGGGGTGTGTGTGTGTGGATATATGCTGTATAGTTTAATAATTTTATTCTTATAGTTAAGAATTAAAAATAGTACTGTGAATGACCTTGTATGTAATTTTAATAAATTAGTTGCTGTTTACACAGGTGACTCTTTACAGTATTAAAAATACTTCCAAGGGATATTCAAGTATACATTTAAAAAGCCAACTGTTAAAACACCAGAAATTTGTCATTTTACTGCCTACCTTAGATGATTAATTTATATTCGTGTAAAAAAAAATTGACATTTCTACTAAGCTTTTTATTGCACTCTTGCTGTATTTTGGATTTAAGCCATAAAATATTGGAAATGTTTTGAATTAATTTTGTTCTTGATCTCATTTGTGCCTAAAATTTTTTCTCTGTAGTTGAATAATGCAGTTACCATTCTTTAGCTGTGCTTAAAAAATATTTACTGCATGGTAGACTATCTGAAGAACGTACGATCAGGAAAGATAGAATATAATGCATTTTTTCATAGAATAAAATAACAAAATCATAAAACAACTATTAAACTTAATAGAAATTATAATATTTAAAGCTCATAGATGTATGAAAAATGCTGAGAAATGTAATAATTTTAAAATTCAATGTTTAAAGTAGCAGAAATGTATAGTATTGTTTGATTCATAGATTTTAGAGGATATAATGTTGTAACATTCTCTCACTTTGACCATTTATGAAATATTATAGTTGTGTTTTTCTAGTGTTAACTGTTATGTATGAAAAGAAAAACACGACTGAAGAGACTTGTGAAGAACTTCTGATTCCAGTAATGTTGTTCTCACATGTTTTTCGTATAAACTGTTTGTTTGTTTGTTTGTTTTATCAGTCATTTAATAGGTGAATGCTGTATTTTAGAAATATGTTTAGAAGAAAAAAATTATTGGATAACATTTTAGAAAGTGTTAAAACAGTTTTTTTTTTTTAAATGTAACAAATTAAAAAATTCTAAGACATTTGACAATAAGAATGTATAGTTGTCAAAATTTAATGATTATTGTTACTTGCTGTCAAATTTAACGATCAAAATAAATATATTGTAGCTGCCAAAACTTGCTGATACCCGTATGGAACTATATTAGAGTAAAAACCCAGAATTATTAATAAACAGTATATATTCGTAGCTTTAAAACATAATAAATAAATCAGAAACTGTATTGTTCTCACATTGATTTGTGTACATGTTTCTTATTAAAAGCAGTTTTATATATAGTGCTGTACTGATGTACAAAGTGTTTTGAACAACCATTTAATTTTCCTTTTGTATGAAATGTTAAGTAACTTGGGGATAATAGTAGAGTGCATTGTTTTAGTGTGGGTGTAATTTTTTAACTAATCATTAACAGATATGCATAATTTATTTTGAATTTCTTCAGTAGAAATGTTGTCAGTCTACCTTCTGTATTTGAATTGTTTTTATATAGATTTAAGACTAATGAAAGTTACATTTTTTAGTCATTTCAAAACAAACATTCGTAAAAGTAAAGGCTTTGATTGCTAACTATATTGTTCATTGAATAATATTTTAAAATGTGTTTAATTTGGAAATTATTCAGTATTTAAATGTGAAATGTTAATTCTTTTTTAAACTAAAAGTTTTTATTAAGAATTAATGTAATAAACTGCTCTTCAGCTATGAATTCTAAAGGATATTTGTTTTCTGTATTGTTCAACCAAGTTTTATAATCTGTCTTCTGGTTCTGATCTGTAGATAATGTGTTTGTCTGTGTAGACACAGAACCAATAAAAGAAATGTTACTATCAACACTGTTATAAGAGAATTTTAAACAAGTTATAAATAATAAATATGTTCATGATAGATGTGATTGATAAATTTCTTTTTTTCTTTTCATATGTTTATATTTGGAGAGAAATAGCACGATACTGAAAACATTACTTACAGTGTAAAATATATATTGTAAACTTGCATACATGTAGGACTTGTTAGTATTACAAATAATGCTCAAATTTTCCCTGATCTTTTATGATTTCCCTTGATATTTCAGTAAATTTGATATCCCTAGTCTCTTTAGAGAGAGGATTATGCATTTTAAGTCTCTTTACAACGTTCCAGTATATTATTCCGTTCCCTAGTACCTTTGCATGTTACTGAAAATACATACAATATAGTATCTTGAGGTAAAAGGAGAAATATCAAAGCATGCTTTATGAAGGAAGTAAAACTTGTGTTTATGTTTTAAGGATTATATTTTAAGGGAGACTCAAAAGCAACTAGGCACGTAAAATGTTAAAATATTATCATATTTTATAAAATCCTGCTGGGAGGCCTGCATACACAGCATAATCAATGGAGAGTGATGAATAGTCGCACCTTTCAGTCATTATCCACCTACTGCTGAAAAAAATGCCACCAGTTTCTATGGTGTTCATTGTGTAATGAATAGTTTTGAAGATTGGATTAATAGTCCTTCCCATCCTGCACATATTTATGAGCCAGCATCATGTATGACTGTCCATTTTTGGTTCTCTGCTGGACACTGTGTGAACAAAACTGCTGAACAACTGTTATCCTCCAAACGAATGAGTTGGATTTGTAACACCATACTTGCATTTTATGGAACTGATGCAATGAAGTTCATAGAACAGCAGCGAAAGTGCTTTGTACTTAAAGACTTCATGTAGTCTGAAGTGGTATCTGATTTCCTTCATTCTTGATTTTGTTAGTGTAAATTTGATGTTTATGTTCTTATAAAGTTGGACTGAGGAAATCCTGTTTCTTTCTAAACACATCTCGTACATCAAAACATTCTCAGACAAAAGACAACTTAAAAGATATTTGGTAAAGTTTGAAAACTACGATCTATGACATTAATATACAGTCTATCACTTAACATTTAGTTGTTGTTTTTTCGCACTTTTTCCTTATGAATATCTCTAGAATCAAGGTCTTCAAAATGAACATTTATTCTAAAACTTAGATTATAGTTCTATTGCAATGATTTCAATGCGTCATAAACTACAGGTCTAGATCTTATAGTTTAAAAATAATGTTGTGCTAGCTCAGTATGCCTTTGGCTAGTGTGCGAGGTTGGGGAAAGCTATATATTCATCCATCCCATGTCTGTCTTACTAAAATAAACTCTTAGACGTACATAGCGTTGCTTTAGTAATAATTGTTGAATCTGGTAACAACAGTATTTTATGTAAACAGACTAATATAATTTTTTTTAATTCTTTAGTGGAAAGATGCTATTCAGTTGACTATTATTGGAAGGTGAAGTTCACAAGAGATCTTTATCAGAAACAAAAATATAAATACAGTCTCATTTTATATGAATAGTTGAGTTTTTGTGCACAAAACTGAGTTCACTTTCTATACTTTTTCAAAATCACAGTGGTCTCTTAATTTCCAATTAAACTAATGTTTTTACATGATGTTAATGTAATACATCAAACACTATGTGCACTACACTATAATGCTTTTTTTAATTTTGTTGCGTATTATATAAGGTAAGATACCCAAAGACTTAGGCACTGACTTTGGAGTGTCATTAAATGTAATTTCTATATTGGGAATAAAATACCAGATAATAAAAAAAAATGTGATGAATGATCAAGAAACGGTAGGCCACAGTTCTACGATAGGACCAGTATCGTGGTAATGTCTCCATGCAGTTACTTTGTTGATGTTCTGAGACGCCATTGACAATTTCATCTAGCCACTGGAACTCAAATCTCACACAGATGGTGAGAAACAACATTTAGCTTTCTAAAAGCATCACCTTGCTATATGATATGACTTACTCTACTTGTGATGTCATCGACAAACACGGTGTGTTATCATGATCACAAACTTTCAGTCTTTACTAATGCATTTCTCTACATAACTGCACAGGTTTAGGAGTGGCTCTCTGGTGTTGTACATCAGTAGGAATGGTGTCCTAAATGTTATTCCACCGAATTTGATTTCGTGTTGATGGACGATAATTCTTATCCCACATGCTCGGAACAGACCTGAAATCAGTTTAAAGGATAGATTACAAAATTATTTCACCTGCCACACACTCTGGATCTGCTGGAAAATATGGTGACACTTTAGAAGTGTTTGCTAGATTATCTATACCAGCTCATTCTTTTCAGAACATGTAGTTCGTCGTTAATCTGTTACATCTTTAACTTGACATTTATTTGTTGATTTCATACCTTTGTAACTATGATAACATCCGGAATCGAAGCAATTAACATTCATTCTAAAACCTTAAAATCAATGTAATAAAACTATTACCTGTAAGCTTAAAGCTGTCTCTAACAATAGAATATCTATCACACCTTTATTGTTGGCTATAAGACTAATTTTAAGTTGAAGGTTTAATCGTTGCATCTTGGATTGTTTCTATTTAACTTAGTAATAAAATGGATGAGCAAATGTAATTTCGAGTTGATTCTTATTTCAAGCTATGATACGCATGGACCAATGTCAAGAGGCTTTCTCATAAATTTTGAAAACATCTTCAAGGTCAACATAAATTGGAATTATCTACGAAAAAAACAATTGTACCCGTCTTAATCTTGTTCGGATTAGAAGAATTGGTTTCCATCTGTGAATGAATTGAAAAACCAATTTCATAAAATAAAAGTATCCGTCAGGATACGGGTATTTGCGATTTCTCGGCCGCCTCTATTTGTTACCATGGGACATAAAATTATTTCTGTATTTGTATACCTCGATGAAGTCATTACGTTGATGTTCTGGGTTTAAATCGCACCACAAACGGTGAGAAACAACGTTTACCCATTGTGAAAGCTTATCGCGTAATCTGTTGTGATGTCATGATCACGAACTTTTAGTCGTTTTGATTGATAGACTTATTTGCCATCTGTGAATGAATCTGATAATTAATTTATTAAAGTTCTAGTTAGGTAAATTCGTGATTAATGAAGGGTTATCTTAGGACATGAAAGTTGCTTCCCTTATATGTAATTGTAAGAAAAGAAAACAGAAATTTGTATATATATATATCTCCATGGACCCAATGAATCTTCATACCAAATTTGATGAAGATCCCTCTACAGAGGGCGAAGTAGTGGTAAAAAATGCCCATAAAAACCGCAAAATGCAATACTGAAAATTTTTACGTACCCCCTCATGGACCTAATAAACCTCCATACCACTTTTGGTGGAGATTCATCAACATCCTGCGAAACAGTTACATGGACATACAACAAACAGTATTATTATATTTATATAGAGTCTTACTACCAGACGTAAAATTCTTTCAATATTTTTATTTCCATACATTTTAATGAAGCCGAAGTAAGACTTTTTTTCTTGTAGTTCTTTACCCTCTTTTATCCCTCTTAGAGTCTACCTTTATAAAGTTTTAATTAATTATCCTTTTCCATTGTACAATTAACTTTAATGGAGTCAGCAAGTAGTTGCCGCATTTCATTTTTCGGAAGACTTCATAATTTTGTTGTACTTCTTAAGCGTCGCTGTTACAGATGGAGATATTTTCCTTGCTTGGGGCCTGATGGTTACGGCGATCGATTTGCAATCTGCGGGATCGAAACCCGTCTCTAAACATGCTCACTTTTTCAGCCTTGAGGGACGTTACAATACGACATTCAATCCTGCTATTCGTCGGTAAAGAGTTGCTGGTGGATAGTGTTGACCGGTTGCATTCTTCTAGTCTATCACTTCTAAATAAGGGACAGCTGTCGAAGATAGCCCTCGAGTAGCTTTGCGTGCAATTCAACAAAGGGCATTGCTTAATGATAAATATATATATATTCTATTGGAAATCGTGAGAGCATACATGTTGTTTATAAACTTTTTTAATGTGACTATTTTTTAGAACATGGAGCAAAATAATCACGTATACTTTTTGCTATTTTTTGAGTTCTTCTAAATTACTAATTTGGCTTTATAACATGTTCAACGCAGGCTTTAGCAATGTGACAGAATTAATTGTCATTTGGTTTGTTATTAATCTCGTGTACTTTTTCTTATAACATTCACTTACTATAAAAATGGCGCCTAACCACTTGTTATTAAATCACGTATTATAAAATAAAATGAAACAATTTGACGTTTTCTTACGGCTCCATAAACAAGCAGTTAAAACTAGCCTGCTGAAAATCTTATTAGCTTTAATTATTTATCCATTTGTATTATACTTGAGCCATAGAGTCGGTAAAGTCAAAATATAATAAAAATCTTGCAAAATGAAAATCATGCGTCACGTTCTTGTAGCTGTAATAAACACATATCAATAAAAAATAACATACAAGATACATTTTTAATAAATTTGATATTACTTTATGCTTACGGTTAATAGTTATAAAAGATGAAATAAAATTTTTAATTTCGGTTATAATTCCTGTACGAAATTATTATTAACTCAACTTGCTAAAAATTATAATTTACATATTATGCATAACCTTCTTTAAAAGAAAAATGTTTGTTTTTAGAATTTTTACAAGTACAAACACTAACCAAATATTTGGCTAATTAACGTTAATAGTCAGGCAGGTTTGAACCGATATTAGAAGCAATTGTGGGTTTTGACGTACAAGCATGAAACTTGGCATAGTTGCAGACCATGGCCCAAATAATGTTTTCAGCCATTTTAAGTATCTGGTGTAGTGAAAATTTGTTCAACAGATGGCGAAAGTGTTGTGTCAATGTTATTCCTGTTTGTAAGTGTCACTGTTTGTTGTAATGTTAATTTTGTTTTATAATTTCGCTTGTTTTTTAGTTCGAAAATTTAATAAGTCAGCAGCCCTGTCGGCCATAAGGAGATTTGCATTATGTTGTAATTAAATGAACTTCGAAGTGGCCATTTATCAGGGTGATACAA